AACACGGAGTGCTAGATCCAGATTGGCTGGGCTCTCCACTGTTTATTTAGTCTCTGAGATTCAGGGGGTTTTTTGCCTTTTTTTTTTTTTTTTTTTTTGCTCCTGTAAAATGGGATGATTATTGGACTCCTCCATAAGCTTGTTATTAGCATTAAATAGAATCTTTCCTATAAAAATCATTTAAATATTGCTTGGAACCTACTGCACATTCAACAGAGGTAAACTGTTGTTAGAATCGTTCATTTAAGCAAAAAGAGAAGATTTGAATTGGATTTCTTTTATTCCGGATATAGTCCCTACATATGGAATAATTAAATTGAATAGTACAAAAGCAGCAGCTCTGGGCAAAGCACTGGGCTAAGCATCATTTGGGGAAACACAAATAGGAATGCAACAGAGTCTCTGCCCCACACGGAAAGGGGAGACCAGCAGATGTGCAATTAAGTGTGATGGTTGGGTTTGGGGATGTGCCCAGAGAAATTTAGAGAAAGTTCTCTGGAAGTCCAGAGGAGGGAGCCCTTCAGACTGGTGGGGGAGGGGTGTGGTAACAGAAAAGCTCCTGAAGATCCTTGCCCCAGGTGGGTTCTAATCTTGAAAGAAGGACATAAACAGGACATCAGGAACAATGCAAGATCCTATCTCAGGGAGTTCCAGATTCTACCACACAAACAATGCTTGCCTAGGAATTCTGAGGTGAGTGTAATCCTGGCTTGGCGTACCGTGGGGCTTGGCTGGAGATGAGAGGTGACACAGAAGGTCATAAAATGCAGAGCCCTAGAATGGAAGAGAGGGTGCTCATTTATGGAGCACCTACTGTGTGACATACAGCCCATCGTCCTCACCACAGCTGTGTGATAAAGCCACTGAGACTTAGGGAAATTCAGCACCATGCTGACGGTCATAGGAACCCAGGTCACAGTGCTGTGTATTTTAAAATATATATATATATTATTTATTTATTTATTTGTCAGAAAGAGAGTACAAACAGGGGGAGCAGCAGGCAGAAGGAGAAGGAGACTCCCCACTGAGTATGGAACCATATGTGGGACTCGATCCCAGGACACTGGGATCATGACCTGAGCCAAAGGCAGATGTTTAACTCACTGAGCCACCCAGTCATCCCTGAGATATACTTTTTGATGTGTATATGAACCACTCTCACTCATTCAAACCCCTCCCAAACTTTAGGACGCCACTTAGATGTTACTCTCCTAACTTCTCATAGACCCTTACACCCTCCCTGGCAAATATCTTGCTTTTAATTATTACCAAATAAAAGGAATAATGAAGGTGTGTATCCTAAGAGTGAAGGAACAGAATTATTTTTGTTCTAAAAAGTAGTTTTTAGAACAAAACTTTCCCCAAAACAAGGAACTCCTCGAGTGGGAATTGGAATGGAATTGACTAAATATGGGATGATCCAATGGAAATTACTAGCATACTCTAATAATTAGTGGCCCCATTACATTTCAGATTTGGAAGCGATCTTAGGTACCTATCTTCAACTCCTGTTCTTTCATTTTATGTAAGAGCAAAGAGGTCAAATGTCCATACAGGTCAGAATTAAAACCCGAGTCCCCTAACTGTCCAGTGATTGCTCTTGGACTATAAATGATGAAAGGACAGGGGACAAATCTTGAAAGACCAAGGGATGTAGTAAAAGAGGGATAGTGGCAGGTGTTATGTATCTCATATAAAGAGATAAGAATGGCCTGCAGTGACAGTGATTAGGGTGGGTCATAGACCAAGGGTTATAATTCATTCAGTCGTAGTCACTCAATTAAAAGCAAACACATATATACATGCATGTATAAAAGTCAAACTGGCTGGGGCGCCTGGGTGGCTCAGTGGGTTAAGCCTCTGCCTTTGGCTTAGGTCGTGAACTCAGGGTCCTGGGATGGAGCCCCGCATAGGGCTCTCTGCTCAGCAGGGAGCCTGCCTCCCTCTCTCTCTCTCTGCCTGCTTCTTTGTCTACTTGTGATCTCTCTCTTCTTGTCAAATAAATAAATACAATCTTAAAAAAAAAAAAAAGTCAAACTGGCTTCTGAGACAGGTGCGATAGAATAGTAAATGTGCGCTCAATGAAAAGACAGATGAAAGGCTTTGCCACTTTCTCCAAAGCACTTAGGGACTGAGAGCAAGATGTTCTGAGGTTGTGATACTTGGATCTGTCCCTTCGTCTTCATGTCTGCCACAGGAGAGAAATGAACACTTGGCCTCCTGGATCTTCATGTGTCTTTAAGATCCCAAGGGCACTTGGCACTTGACAAGGGCAGTGGATTAAATGGTATTCACAAAGCATGTTTATAGTTTACAAAGTATTACACCCCAGAGCTTATTTTGGTCTCAAAATGAATCTGTGAGATATTCCCATTTTAAAGGTAAAGAAGTGGAAGTTTCATGAAGCACATGGCTCGCGCAGGGCAGAGCCCGGTCATGTGTTGGAGTGACTGGGGACTTAGAACTGTGTCTTGTGTCATGACTCTTTGCGGGAAAGTTGACAAAGTCCCAAACATCTAGGAATATTCAAAATTATTGTATACAATGACTTGAGAAGCCCCTGGAAGAAAGACAGTTTTCCAATGCCTAATTGCCACAATTGAAGTGAATTCGTAGTCATGTTCCAACCTCTGTTGGGGAAAGAGGGGGTTTTAGCAGGATGTAATTTACGGAGTTCACCATAGATCTTTTTTTTTTTTCCTTTTTTTATTGAATGCCAACCTCCTGACTTTCATAGATGATTTGGAATTGCAGAAAGTGAATGATTTGCTTGGGCAAATTCCATTATCTATGCCATTGTACCTCCCAAGACCTTTTCCTTTCAGACTGGAAACACATTTAATATAATGTCATTTTAATTTCATAACTGGAGAAACTGAGTTCAAACATTTTTGGCCTTAGAGCCTATGGCAAGTACTTCCCAAACCAAGAAGTTCTGAATCTGGGATCTCCTGCTTTCTGAATAATACCATATTCCGGCTTTTATAGAGGGGATGTCTGAGTCATTTGCTCATTCTACAAATCTGCATACTTTCACCAACACATATTCTCCACTGGTGTTCACTCTCCCTGAAGTGTACAGGAATGATCCCAGCTCTCCGGAAGGATCTGGAGCAGCCCTGAGGACAGGAGTGTGTGGGGAGGAAAGTCCCTGGTTCATGGAGCAAATTTCGCCTCAGGCTCCTAGCATGCTGTCCACACGCAAACCTCACACAGCATATTTTTATCATGACATTATTTGAACATACTGGTAATTAATAATTTGTAATACCACTACTGCTAACTCATTTTGAGTTATTAAACACTTGGAAGGACCAAAAAAAAAAAAAAAAGAGAGAGAGAAAGAGAGAGAGAGAGAGAGAACTGTTTTGCCATAAGGGGGAGCTTTTGAGTTCCATAAAGAGGGGGGAAGAAAAGGAACAAAAATATATTACATATATGTCCCAGTTCAAAACAGATCCACAAAGCAGCAAATGGTCAGATCCTTACCTGTGACTTGAACAGTTTCAGAGAACCTGAATTTCTTTGGTTGAAAAAAGCAGGCAAATTAATATTTTTCTCTTTTTTCTTAATAGAAAACTACAATAATTTCCAACAGCCAATAGAATATTTTTGAGTATTCAGGAGTATTTAGAGACCTAGTTGTGCTGAGTGTAAGCTTCGGAAAGGCAAATGCCTTGGAAAATGCCTTTCCCCTGGTTGTTCCTGGTGATTCCCTGAGGATTTGGGGGACAACATTTGGACTAGCTGAAGCCAGCACGACTGGTGGCTCAGGGAGGAGAAGGGACATTCACCACTGCATAACTTTAAGGGAATTCTGAGCTGGGAAAAGGATAGGGAAGGCAAAAGACAGGGGGGAAGGAGGAAGGAAAGAGGAAGAGGGAGAGAAAGGGAGTGGAGAGAGGGAGAAAAGGAAAGGGAGAGAGAGGGAGGGAGAGAGACTGAGAGAGAGAGGGAGAGACAGCATTACAAAAAATTCAGAGAATCAAGTTTCAAGACCCTTTCTGTGCTACAGAGAAGGATGAGGTTTACCAGCAGACTGCGAAGGGGATCCTGAGCAAAGAGAGAGATTTTTCTCCTGCCAGGAGGAAAAATAATAATAATAATAATAATAAGGGGGGGGGTGCTGCTGAAGGAAGGGGGGGGAAAAGCAAGCAAAACAAAACAAAAACAGGAATGTGTGTTTTGAGCAGAAATGAGGAGAGCTGGAAGGACCGAAAGGGGGTGTGTACAGAATTTCATTAAATTGTTACTTTAAGATTGTCTTCTTAAAAAAAAAAATAAAAAAAAAAAAGGAGGGGGTGGAGAAGCGGGAGCGAAGGAGGCAAACGGCGAAGTGGAGGAAGGCTGGGTAGCTCGGCCTCTCCAAACTGATTGATTAGTCATGATCCCCGCAGTTTGAACAGGGACTCATTCAATTGGGAAGGTGGAGCGCTCGGGAGCAGATTAGCATACGCTTGTTTACTCATCTTCTGAGGGCTTTTTCCCCCCCTCTTTCCTTTCATTTTGTGAAGAAGGAGGGAGGGGAGGGGGGACTGAGGTGGGGGGAGAAGGGGGCTGTGGCTTGTGTTATAAAGGACGCAAAAAATAAATAAATTAGAGCATCTTTTGGGGGGAGGGAATTCAGCGGATCAGTGTCTTAGAGAAGCTTTTTTTTTTATTATTTTTTTGAAGAGCGAGAAATCATATAAAATAAAATGAAATAAAACAAGGAGGGAGGCAACCAGCTGTTAGAGGGGAAAAAAATAAGGCAGATAAAGGAGCGGGGAGAGAAATTAATTGCCAACCAGGAGGAGTTGGGCTGTATTTTTCAAAGGTGGGGGGAGTGGAGCACACACCTTGAGGAGGGAAGCGAGAAAGAAAAGAAAAAAGCAAGTGGAAGGGGGGGCTCGCCCAAGAAGGGTGAAGAAGCGAAGAAAGTCGAGGCGCCGAGGCTCCCAAAGCTGGCAGCTCCGGGCGGCGGTGCAGGGGCGAAGGGGGGGCGGGGGGGACCGTCGGACATGCGGCTCTGGAGTTGGGTGCTGCGCCTGGGGCTGCTGAGCGCCGCGCTGGGCTGCGGGCTGGCCGAGCGCCCCCGCCGGGCCCGGAGAGACCCGCGGGCCGGCCGCCCCCCGCGCCCCGCCGCCGGCCCGGCCACCTGCGCCACCCGGGCGGCCCGCGGCCGCCGCGCCTGCCTCCGCCGCCGCCGCCGCCGCCGCCGCCGGGCGGTGCCTGGGAAGCCGTGCGCGTCCCCCGGCGGCGGCAGCAGCGGGAGGCGAGGGGCGCCGCCGAGGAGCCGAGCCCGCCGAGCCGGGCGCTCTATTTCAGCGGGCGAGGCGAGCAGCTGCGCCTCCGGGCCGACCTCGAGCTGCCCCGGGACGCGTTCACGCTGCAAGTGTGGCTGCGAGCGGAGGGGGGCCAGAGGTCTCCGGCGGTGATCACAGGTAGGCGAGGGCGCCCCGGCGGGTGCCCGGGCTCGGGAGGCGGGCCGGTTGGGGGCTTGCGGGTGTGTCTGGGCGGGAGACTCCCTGGCCGGAGGCACCGAGGCACCCGGGAGAGCTGCGAGCCTCACTTTGCCCCATCTGCGGAATGGGCGCACTGGGAAAGCTTTTTGCCTAGCCCCTGGGGAGGAACTCAGGGAGTGCTCCTGGCGGCCCGAGACCGGGCTGGGGCACGCAGTGAGGGCTGGTCCCTGGGAAGCCTTGCGCCTGTACCTCGTATATTGTGTTCTAGATGGTCGGAGGGACCATCTCTGTTTGGGATGGAGGGGAGGGTGATCCAATAGGGATGCATGCGAAAAGAGGCCAGGGGATTATTGATTTCTTTGACTTTTTAAATGGAGGTGAGCCCCCCCCCCTTCATTTGGGCCCTTTACCCTGAAAGCCTGCAAGAACGGGGTTGTTGTGATCAGAAGGACTTAGAAGTCCTCCAAGTGCCCCAAAGTTGCTTTCTGCTTGATGCCTGCCTGTGGGATGCACCCCCTTCTCCCCTGCCTCAAACACACATGCACACACACACCCCGGCATCCCGTCCCCTGGCTTTTAAAGCCCGATGCCTATCACTCCCGGCTGGGGCAAGACCTTCCTAACGCACACCCAGCCGGTCTTCTCCAGGCACGGCCGCGAAACGGGGCGCTTTCCTCATTTGGGACTTTTACGAGCCCGTAATGAATTTGAGTTCTCCCTCTTCACCCTCCCCTTCCCTGTTCCACAGCAAAGCCCATAGTGAAACCGGACACTTTGCAAGGGTTGCAAACCTTAGAAATGCTCCAATATCCATTTTTCCCCCTTTAAATGAATCTGTGGCAATGCCTTTAATTCAACTGGGGGAGGGGGGCAAGGAGGGGTGGCGCTGGTGGAGAGAAGGAAAGTTTGCCTCTTCGGACTGAGACTGGGAGATTCCCTTCCTGCACAAACAATTTTGCCATGTCCTAGGACGTCTTAAAATGAGAGTAGGGGTTCCCCCTTTGCTGCAGCCAGGAAACATGTGGAGGCGGTTCGCGATCCCACCCCCTTACACACACACACACACTTTCTTCGAAGGGAAAGCTGTGAGTTCTTCCGGCAGTTCTGCCTCATTCTGTCTTGCTGTGGACTTTCTCAGACGTTGTGCTGACGCTCTTCTCCTTCCGTGAACCCCATTTCGGGGGACCCAAACTCTGCTGCTATACCAAGAATCTAGCCCCAAATCTCCCAGTCTCCCGATCCCAAACCGAGAGCAAGAAAGTCACTTTCCCCCACACCTGACGTCATCACATGCTATTTTTTTCTCTCTGACCCCCGCCCCCCAAGAAGGAGAGGGAAACTGAGCTCATTCACTGTTAGCTCCCAGGTCCTAGGCACCTGAAGTGGGGTATACTGTAGAATGGAGGGAAAGTGTTATTTATAATAATAACGATGGTGGTGATAACTCAGGGCTATATGATATGTTTACTTCTCTTTCGGAACATCGGAAAAGCATAGAGCCTGATGCTTGGAGAGGATGGGGAAAAAATGAGTAGATCTGATTTTTCCTGAGCTTTACCTGTCATGCTAGTGATTTGGAATGCTTTTCCTCCAGAGGGGAGGGCCCAGGGTTGTATAGGTATCATCAATGGAAAGATAGTAAATACGTTTGTTTTTTTTTTAATAATATATATATAACACCTGGGATTCCACAGGAGCCTGGCTTTATAAATGTCTATAATTCAGACAAGGAGCCTCTCTTCGCACACGTTCTCTTGAGCACTCATTCACTCTCTCATACAAAGATTGTGCAGTAAAATACTTTAATTGGATGGGGGACGTTAAGTTATTATTGCTTGTATAAAATGCCTGGCCCATTTTATGTGTGGAAATAACATTCCTCTCAAAATGCAAAAAAAAAAAAAAAAAGAAGAAGAAAGAAAGAAAGAGAGAAAGAGAGAAAGAGAGAAAGAATGGAAAGGCACTGCTCTCGTATAGTACCAGAAAGCCAGGAGCTTTTCTCCCGAGGATTCTGGTGGATTTTTTTTCCCTCCCCTCCTTGAGTCTGAGCCAGAGTTGGCGGTGTGTAAACACCTGGCCCTGAGCCAGAAAAGACTCATTCTGCGTATCCTCCACACGGTACAGACTGTTGGACTAAAAAGAACCTGCTTCTCCTTGAATTAAAAAGCAAACAAACAGAGGTTCTTTGCAGAAGCACTTTTTTTCGGCTCCTTCCTTCGTCCGTGTAAGTTCAGGCGGGGAGAGGCAGGGCCTAGGTGGGCAGCCCGGACGCCCGGTGCCCAGCCACGACCTCCGGCGCCCAGTTTGTCGCCTGACCTCTGCCAGCCACCTTTGGCTGGGCGTCGCCATCACTTTAGTAGGAATCCCTGGTCCCCTATCTTGAGAGAGCAGGCATCTCTCAGCGGGGAGCGCGCTGCTATTTCAGGCAGAGGGTTGCTGCGTTGCTTTCAGGCCAGGCCGCCTTACATCACTCTTTGCTGCGGGATTCAATTGGGTTTCGTAAAGGTCTAATTTTACGGTGCTGTTAACCGGGTCTGTCGTCTGGCAGAGGCAGGCCTTGCCGCTCCTGGTAGGCGGGCTGTGCTCCCAGATCCGCCCGGGATGCTATTTCTGCGCCGGTTCAAACTTCACTGACACCAGTTCAGACAGGCGTGCTCCGGAGAGGCAGGGGGAAGGAGGGAAGGAGCAGCGTGCTTCTGAAGCCCAGAAAACATGCTTTTTATTTTTCCAAAAGGGAAGAACAAAATATATATATGTATATATATATATATATATATACACATATATATATTAAGAAATAAAAAGGGAAAAGCTGATGCAGGCAAAAACAAAGTCAAAGTTAGAAAGTGCTTGTGTCCAGGCTTCTCCCGTGGGCCCCCCAATGATGGAGGGTCTTGAGAATTGAAGAATCCTTTAAGACTACAGGGAAAGTGGTCCTCAGGGGTTACACACACACGCGCGCGCACCCCAGTTCTCTCTGTAGTCAGGTAGGGAGACAGGGATGGGAGGGAGGGGTGCTGCTGGCTGACACAGCTCCTGGATGGCAGGAAATGGGCTTTAATCTTAGGCGCATGGCCTTCCAGGGCCTTCCCGCCCCCCACGGCGGAGAAAACATGTCTAGTAAACAGCATCACCTCTTCTCCTTCCCCGACCCACCACCCAGGCCCAGCCTTGCCTTCACGCACAGCCGTTTGGGCTCCCTTTCAAGTCCAGGATGGGGGGCTTTCTTCCACACTCCTTTGCTTTTGTCCCATAGCAGGCAGGATCCAGACCCCTGCCCCTTATCCCCAAAGCCCCCCCCCCCAAAACCCTCCAGTCCAAAGAAAGAGAAAGGAGAAGAAAAAGAAAACAATAGACTCAATTTGCTCCATCGAGCAGAGGCCCGGAGCAGCCGTTAATCTTGTTAAAGTTTCTCCTGACGTGTTAGATAAGTGAAATGTGGACCCCACAAGTGGTGCCCTCCTCCCACCCCATCCCTTCCTGATCCAGAATTCCTGCTCTGAAGGCGAAAGGGATTTACCTGAATCCTGTCCAGCACCTCTGCTCGCGACACTTTTTTTCTTTTGTTCCAAATGCTGGGCTGTTGAGTTTGCTGGCTAGTTAGAGGAATCTTTTTATTTCCTCCCTCCTATAGCTCCCACTTCCTATGACCCCCCCAACCCCCCCAAAAAGAGTGCCTGAAGTTTCCCCACTTCAGAAGTGCTGGAACAGGGACGGCTGGGTTTCAGGGAGTCCCTCTATTAATACGGCTCTCCCCCAGACTGTCGTAGTTACATGCAGGGTCTAGAATATTCCAAGGGCTAGAAGCCAGTTTCAGCCGTCAGGTTACCTACATGAGAATCCACCTCTGCCCCAAACTGGCTGGGTGACCTGAGACAAGCTAGTTGACTCCCCTGGGCTTGAGCTTCATCTACAAGGTGAGGATAGCACAAGTACCTGCTCATTAAATGAGCTCACGCAGGGAGAGAGCTCAGCACTGGACTTTGGTGGATCGTAAGTTCTCCATAAACTTCCCTCTTACTATTGGACGTGATTTCCCAGAGCTCAGTCTTACCCTTATGGACTGAGGACACCGAAAGGCAGGAAGGAAAGCAGCTCTTCCTGGATGCCTCCGAGGGGCCACACACAGCAGAGGTGACTTAGTGCACAGACCCACAGGCTGTCAGGGAGGCAGAGCCCAAATGTGAACTTGAGTTTTAATCATCCGTTCCCTCTTCAGCAGTGTTTCTGGCGAGAGAAGAAACAACTCACCTTCCCTTCTTTAGCCCTGCTGCAGAATGTCCCCATTCCTTTCTGCGTTTCTGGGTGCTGACCATGCCCCTACAGATTTAAGAGGATAGAAAATGAGTCTAAGTCTCATGGGGAACCCTGGCTTTGACCTAGCAAGTCTGTTTCTCCTTTCGCGCCAGATTAGGCAGACTGGCCTTGGACTATCTGTTGCCGGTTCCCCGCCGTGTGATTTGAATTCGGTCATTTTTTTCAGCTCGCTATCCTTTCGTTTCCTCATCTGTAAAATGGGAATAGTGATCCCGGGACACTGTAGTGAAGTAAACATGCAGAAAGTACCTGGCACAGTATCAGCTCCTATTAGGGACTCGGTCAACGGTGACGGGATCCAGTAAGTAACCACATTCCCTTTTCCAGTTTGCTAACTTGGCCTTCTGGAAGCTGGGCCTGTTTGCACTGTTAGGGTGTCCCCTCTGGAGTTACAGGGGAGCTTATCTAGAGTAGACCCTGTATCTCAGGGGACAGTTAGACAACCCCCCCCTCAAAATCCCTTCCTTGCACTTTCATTTCCTCTTCTTTGACCTACTTGGATGACCCCTTGGTGGTAAGAGCCAGAGGAAGTCTAGAACCACTGGACCAATGAATAAGAAAACCAGTTAGCACTGAAGAGAGTGTGCACCCTGGGGAACAAAAGGCAGACAGTGGTCATAGTGAGGTCCAGGTCACAGATCTACTGTCACATGCCTTTCGCT